CTCTCACCGGAGGCAAAGTCACCGCTCGTCGGTGGTCTCTACTGTCACTCACGATGGCTGAGCAGAGGCAAAATACCCCAAAAGGCCCGTCCTACTCCTCTAAACCCAAATCCCATGCTATTTTCCCCTTAAAACTAATCTTAAAAGCCTAAATCTAATGGAGAAATTATGAAAAAACTACCTTCTTCCACTATGAAAATCACCGTCCGATGGTGATGTATTTTAGATATGTGTTTGCCGACCACATGATGGATCTTCTCACCGCATGGATCTTCAGTTTGAAGGCTAGAAGGTAAGGTTTTGAGGATTTTTTTTTGTTTTCGATTTTCTTTCTCCCCTAATTCTTATAAGATATGTGTATTTCTAGGACCCTTATGTATATTTTGGTCTGTAACTCTATTGGTATTTTGATTTATTTGGTCTTACATATGTTTTTTTTTGACAAGATATAAGTCATTAGTTTTATTAGAAATAGAAAAATATCCAAATTACAATGAAGGTTTACAACTACAACCGTAAACTAAATACATAATAAGGATATTTTTCATATAATCATTAACACAAGAAACTAGCCACTTAAGATCACACAAGGACCATATATAAGGAAAATGTTAAAAACAACCTAACCAAATAAACTCAAATAAGAGGTAGATACAAACATATCTGACAACATTGATAAATGAACCATAAAAAGGGTTCAAGCTATTGAAAGACCGTCGACAAACCATAAATCAAAATTGAGTGATGTGAGAAAACTATCCATAAATGTAAATCACATATCCAAATCCAATATGAGGATCCAAAGCATTAAAGATTAGCATGATAAAAAAAATGCTATTTTGATCAGTCGTTACATGTCAAATCTAACCCTTAAAAAAAGGATAAACAAAAATAACGGCCAAACGAAAAATAACCGTCGCTCACGATGGCTAGAGCAGAGGCAAAATACCCCAAAAGGCTCGTCATACTCCTCTAAACCGAAATCCCACGATATTTTCCCCTTAAAACTAATCTTAAAAGCCTAGATCTAATGGAGAAATTATGAAAAAACTACCTTCTTCCACTATGAAAATCACCGTCCGATGGTGATGTATTTTAGATATGTGTTTGCCGGCCATATGATGGATCTTCTCACCGCATGGATCTTCAGTTTGAAGGATAGAAGGTAAGGTTTTGATGATTTTTTTTTGTTTTCGGTTTTCTTTCTCCCCTGATTCTTATAAGATATGTGTATTTCTAGGACCCTTATGTATATTTTGGTATGTAAATCTATTGGTATTTTGATTTATTTGGTCTTACATATGTTTTTTTGACAAGATAAAAGTCATTAGTTTTATTAGAAATAGAAAAATATCCAAATTACAATGAAGGTTTACAACTACAACCGTAAACTAAATACATAATAAGGATATTTTTCATATAATCATTAACACAAGAAACTAGCCACTTAAGATCACACAAGGACCATATATAAGGAAAATGTTAAAAAAACATAACCAAATAAACTCAAATAAAAGGTAGATACAAACATATCTGACTACATTGATAAATGAACCATAAAAAGGGTTCAAGCTAAAAAGGTAGATACAAACATATCTTTAGTATGTCCAGCATACCTATCAATTAATATTTTCTAATTTATCCTTTGTTTTCCAAATATATGTTGAATGAAAATGCATGGTACATGAGATGAACCTAAATGTCGTAATTAAAACATAAGTATATCATACCTATCAAAATACGAATTTAATTATTTTCAAATCATTATAATTTCTTTGAGATGCATACGTAGTGTCGATACGGTTGTTCATAAATATATTATGAATTTTGCACACTTAGTGCCAGTACGATAGTTCATCAACATATGATGAAATTCATGGGTTACACTATTAGTACTTATACGGTCGTTCATCAAAATATGATGAATTATGTGGGTTGCACACTTAGTGCCTATATGGTCGTTCATCAACATATGATGAATTTCGTGGGTTGCACACTTAGTGTCTATACAGTCGTTCATCAACATATGATGAATTTCGTGGGTTGCACACTTAGTGCCTATATGGTCGTTCATCAGCATATAATGAATTCCGTGGTTTGCACACTTAATGCCTATATGGTTGTTCATCAACATATGATGAATTCTATGAGTTGCACACTTAGTGCCTATACGTCATTCATCAACATATTATGAATTTCGTGGGTTGCACACTTAGTGCCTATACGGTCGTTCATCAATATATGATGAATTTTGTGGGTTGCACACTTAGTGCCTATATAACAATGCAACATATACATTTAATCACATAAAATCCATAACTCTTAAGGTAAATAATAAATGCACTAACCTGGTATGCCTAGTTAATATGCTTTAAGGATGTCTAGCTATCCAGCAACTTTATCTTTTCCCTTTTTCTTGCTTGACTCAGGAGCTTGGTTACGATCTACGCAAAATCCATTAAGTACACATACCATACCAAATGTTAGTATACTTCTCTAACATTTATACTTTCAATAATACTTAAAAGTACTACTATATTCAATTTCTATTAAAATTCATCATATCTTAAAGTTTCCAGACTCAATAGTATCGGTACCTCTATCATGCTATCTATACTTATATACTATGGTACCGATATTCTCTTTTAGTATCGATACCATTTATGCATTCTATAATCCATGGTATCGATACCTCTCTTTTAGTATCGATACCCACATCAATATTGATACTAATTGCATCAATATTGATAGTGTTCATCTTAATTCTTCAAATTTAAACCTATAGTACTGGTACTATTCTTCCAGTACCAATACTCTTACCCAGATTTTCCATTTTCAGCTCGATTTTGACCCAAATCATGTTTAAATCTCTTACTTTTACCTCAAACAATACCTTAGACTTAACATCACTTAACCCAATTAACTTTCCTCCATTTAGCTTCTTATAACACCATAATTCTCTAAAGAACACTCCAAACCAAGAATCATACTACTTTTCTAACATGTTTTTAATCACATCCAAGTCTTCTAATCTCTTATTTACTTATTTGACAAGTCAAATATACTTATAAACATCAATAAAAACTCATATTTCAACAAATCACTCAAAAACATATTTTCTTCAATCTCAAATAAAATATATTTTTCTTAGTTTTAATCCTCTTTAACCCTTCCTTAAGCTTACACATCACTTAAGGTTTCAAGACTTGCATAAACTAAAGAATAAACTAATTCAAAGAAAACTTACCTTGGCTATGGGGAGAGCACGGTCATGGGGAAGAAGAAGAAGAGAAGAAAGATAACTATCCTCTTTAACTTTCCCCCTTTTCTCACTTAAATCCCTAATAAAAATTGAATTTTAAATTTATTTCTCTCTAAAGGACTAAAATGCCCTTTTATTCTTCCATTCCTTATTAATTGGTCTTAAACACAATTTATAAATCATTTCTTATACTTTACCATTTATTAAATTTATTATCCCAAATTTCAAATTCTTTTACTATGGCCACCGACCCGATATTTGGGGTATTACAACTTTTTTAATGTTCACTGATCTGATGAAGTAACTTTTATGCTCATCTTTTGGAAGTGCTCTCCAATTCTCAACTCTCGTGAGCACATTTGGGTTGTACGGTGCCTTATAAATAGATTTAAGACCGCTTCATATTCATCAACTGCATAATCTTTATATCTGAGCCTATTTTTTAGGTTTTCAACTCAAACCCTCATTTGGTTTCAAAATGTTATTCAAAATTTTATTTCTTGAACTCCTCTTTTTCATTTTTCCTATCAAGCATTAAAGATTTGGTTTAAGGGTGATCGAACCAAGGATCAATTCATTCGGATGCCTTTAAGCGTGTCTTATCAAATTTGAATTTGTTTGTCACTTGTCTTTTATTTTCATTCTTCTTCGGGATCCCTCTAGGCTGCCCATTATTGGGGTTTCACCCTAGATTTCATCTTCATTTTCCTACATCTTCGGCATTTCTCGCTCTTCTTGTTAAATTTGGAACTTTGAAACATTTGTACTTGATTAATCTTGTGGCTTGAGGCTCAACGAGTCACTTATCTTGCAATACTTGATCCATTTTCTTTCTTCTTCTTCTTCTTCTTTTCCTTCTCTTTTTTTTCATTTTTTCTTTTCTTTTTCTTATTTTATTTATTTATTTTTTTCCTTTTCATTTTCTTTTTTTGTGTGTCTTGAATATGAATTTATTAGATGAGTTTAGGACTTCAATTGCTTTAAGTACCTTCTTGTCCTCTTTATTTGAAGAATTTTACACTTATATCTGAGTACAAATTGTTTCTTTTATCCGAACATCTTTTGTTATTCTTGACTTGATTTGATCTTCGAGCACTTGTACTTGGTATACCTTACGGTGTCTTGTTATTTCTCACTTGATTTTACAAGGGCTTGCCCCTGTAATAAAACTTGGATTGATGGTCTTCTCTCAAGCAAGCAATTTTCCTTCACCCTGCCTCTAAATTGGAGGGTGATCCTTGCTTAGGGTTGAATCAAAAGAAAAATAATCCAGACTCAAATGAGGACAACAAGGGATACATTTTCTCTTTTTGTGAAGGGATAAATGAAATAAGGTCATTCATCATTTCATACACCGAAGTCCTTGCAAAAAGAGGTATCCCCAGGGAGATGAATATTCATGATTAACTTTTATTCACATGAAAACAAATTAATTAATGCATGATTGAATCATTTCAATCATTTTATTTTAATCATTCCCTTTATTTCCTCTTCTTCTTCGTGCTTATAGTATGCTCTAATTATTCGACCTTATCTTCAAAAACTTGATCTAGGATGCCCCATTTCGTCTCTTCTTGCTGGAAGATTCACGGAAAAATGAAAGTTTTGCACTTAAGGCCTTTAGGTTTTATTGGCGTAAAAATGAGGATTTTGTGTTTGAAAAGATGAGGGTATAACTTTAAAGTCGTATATATGGAGAAAGATAGTGTTATAAAAAGATCAGTTTTACCCGAGAAGGTAAAAGTATGAATTTGGTATCTCAAAAAAGGTAAGGGTATGACATTGGGGGTCTCAAATAGAGGTAATGTCAAGGTAAAGAATCAAGTGATTGTACTTTTGGAATTGGACGGGATACGAAAGGTCTAATCTTGCCACTTGCCAAAGATCTATAATTATTGAAAAATTAAAAGAATCTTTAATTTATCGATATTCAAAGAACTTCAAGATTAAAACTTCTTTTATTGCTTATAAACCTATAAGAAGGTATAAGTTCAATCACCAAACACTTTTATAAAATATTTAAGTAAATAAAGAAAGAAAGAACAAAAACAAGTTCAAACAAAATAATGCAAATGCAACAAAGCTTAATGATGGATGGAAATGATTATTTCTTGATTAGGTTCGTAATGCCCTATTACTCATTGAAGGTCCATGCCCCTGAATTGACTAAATTCTGAACCTTGTTTTTCAGTGCCCCATAGTTCTTAGTGGTATGCCCCAAGCTTCATATCCAATTCTCTCAATTCTTCTCTAGGTACGAATGGGGTGGCTTCAATTTACCTTCAATATTTTCGTCACAGAGTCATCCACAAATTACCCCATTCTCTAGGATTGATTCATGTAACAATGCTTAAATTAAAGCAGTGCGAATACAAATGTAGATGCAAAAAGTGTTAATTGCATAAGTGACCACCATATAACAACCTTCATTTAGACAACAAGGTTTTATTACACCAGGTAGTCAAAATAAAATTGTGATTCTCCATTTCTTCACTTCCTTGATCCATACTCTTCATGAGATCTAACATTGCACCCAAAGTTTTCGGTGTACTTTATCACATTTGATAACGCTTGGTGTCCTTAAATTATTTATGGTTGAATCATTAGATCTCTATTTTTATTTCCAATACAAAGTGGTCTTCATGACTTCGTGAAGGGTCTTTTCGTCCTGAGTCTAACTGCATCTATCTCTTAAGGAAACATTTTGGCATTTGCGCCTTCAAATGAAGTCTTCAAATTTCTTTATTCATTGGTTGTCTTCCTTCATTGAACATTTAAACATCTTTGGATCTCCTAGTTTTGACTACATGGCTATGAGTTTATTGTCCCATTAAGAACAACCTTTTATTTAGTCAATCACTTGCAAATTAACACCTTTATATGGCATGAAGATGCAAATGCAAGAAAATAAAACCAAAATAAAATAAACACAAAACAAAAATGGGTTAGTACACATAAGATAAATAACAAGATAGTAAGTACTATAAGCATCGAATGAAACCTACCCTCACAGGTTGACTACCCATACATGGTATAATAAATCCTACCCAAACATGCTTTCTACCCACATACTTTGTTATTCACAAAAATCATAACCACATGATATCTAGTTCTCATGTATTCATTCAAAACATCAAATTATTCTACCAGGACTCATAGAATCTTTTCCTTGTGTACACTCTTCATGGGATTTCTAAGGGTAGAGCAGGCTCTATAGTCCTAGGCTCACGATATGCTATGTTCATCTCTAGGGCAAGAGGTACTCGAATTATCCGTATGGAGGCGATTACCATCACGAGGACCATAAGGCACGTGCCCCAGGAGCGATTAACTATCCCATGCAGAGGTGAAAACCATCACGAAAGAGTAACTTCTTACTCCCACTTAAGTGAGATAGAACGAGATTTTAGCTCATGTTACGCAAATGTAGCTTTGCAGTGTGAGGAAAAACAAAAACAATATAAACAACACAAAACATAGTTCTCAAATCCTTGAACATTTATTTAATCTGAAAATATTAGCAAACAAATTAGTACAACTATTTAGTGGTTAATCAAATTATAAACATAAAACAAATCAAACACCCATTGGATCTCAAATTAAATTACGACGAATTTACAATTTTTATTGCAAAGACAACTAATTCATTAATTAATGGCCTAACTCTCGAATGTCCCTAGAAGAGTTGGCAAGCTATCGAGAAGTTCCTTTTAAAATCTATGGTGTCGATTAAAAAAAATGAGATTTTGTAAAAATGTATGCCTCAAATAATTTGGGAGTCGAAAAAAAATACTAAAATTGATCGTGGAGTCACCACCAATATTTGATTAAGGTGTGATTGGGCACCCAAAATGCTTTTTCATCATTTTAAGGTGTGAGTACCGAAAATTGAGTTCGGAGTCGATTACACGTGGGGAAGGATTAGCACCCCCCCCCAAAGCGCCCTAAATCGGTACCTAGTCGATTAATTACATGTCTTTGCAATGAAATTTACAAGTTCTAATTTTATTTAATTTTTGATCCCTTTAAATAATATTTCTGAATTTTAGGATGGAAAACGACAATATTTAATTATTTCCTATCAAGAAGAAAAGACCTCTCATGCCTTAGAGCAGTCAATTCTTACTCTAATCGAAATAAAGAAATATTAAAATTCCTATTCTAAAACTCATTATTAATTTAAATTCCAAAATGCATGAACAATGATAAAATAAATCAATTTAAATGAGAAATTACCAATCCTTTTAGAAAGAAGAAGGATGTTCGATTATTTAAAGACGTCGAGATTGGACCTTTTATAAGTTCTAACAACCTTTTCTCGACGAATTTAAATAGACGGACATTTCTTTTTCTCTCTTTCCCAAATTTTAGGTTGAATCATATTTTTTTAGTTTCACTTGTAGGAATACCTTTTCATTTAAAATTATCGGAGAGACACTCTTATGCCTTAAGATAGTCATCTCACGATAATGTTAAAATGCAATGGCATTACTCTTAGTCCAATTATTTGAATTGAGTCCAAATAATGCTTGTCAAGATAACATGTATATTAATTTAAAATAAACCCTAGAGTTATATGTACAAATAAAAAATATTTACATACATATCGTTTGAAAACATATAAAAAAACACAAAATTAATATCAGTAAATGAAATAATACATAAAAAATATATTTGTAATCGAACCAACCAAAATATATTAAATACCACACACACGTATGATGCAAACATGCCTTTAGCATTTAAATAAAAAAATGAATTAAAAATGGGACTACACAGTACATGCATTATAGAATTTATTAAGGTATAAATGTTCATAATAAATTGGCATTCAAACATATATATATATATATATATATAAACTAATTAAAACCATAATATGTAAATATATACACACAAGAAATGACATAGCATAGTAAAACAAGCTAATATATATATGTTACATAACTACTCACGTGACAAAATGAGGACTATGAAAAATTTAAGAATCAAGTCATAACAAATAATAAATATATATAGGGATACATCAAAACACTAACCCAACTAAAACGGTGGCCAAAATAAATATACGACAAACCTATGGAGATTTAAAACAGAAATTGAGCATGAAACTGTGTATTAAACAAGTAGGACTAAATCAGAATAAATAAAAAATTAAAAGCAGCCATCAAAATATTAATCCATGCTATTTCATGCAATTTCAAGAAAAATGGTGATCAAAATGAATTCATGGCAAGACTACAATGACCTACATCATAAATAAGACACTTTTGAACACAAACAATATATGGACTAAAATGCTATAAATTAAAATTCACAAATCAAATCACAAATTCAACCATTATATAAATAAAAGACAATGACCAAAATATAAAAACATAAAATTAAGAGCTTGAAATCATAAAATTAAAAGTTATATTTAGTGACTAAAATGAAGGGATACAAACATTGGATGACCCCTTGAGTGGTTTCCTCTTACGCTAGTTTCAGGAAATCCTAACCCTCAAAACTAGTTTTGAGTTTGATATATAACTCATATTTTGTCTTTGTTGAAACCATAGCCCCCATTTTTTTTTCTAAGAGAGACATAGAACAAACTCTCTCAACTTCCCTCTCACCGGAGGCAAAGTCACCACTCGTCGGTGGTCTCTACCGTCGCTCACGATGGCTGGAGCAGAGGAAAAATACCCCAAAAGGCTCGTCCTACTCCTCTAAACCGAAATCCCACGCTATTTTCCCCTTAAAAGCCTAGATCTAATGGAGAAATTATGAAAAAACTACCTTCTTCCACTATGAAAATCACCGTCCGATGGTGATGTATTTTAGATATGTGTTTGCCGGCCACATAATGTATCTTCTCACCGCATGGATCTTCAATTTGAAGGCTAGAAGGTAAGGTTTTGATGATTTTTTTTTGTTTTCGGTTTTCTTTCTCCCCTGATTCTTATAAGATATGTGTATTTCTAGGACCCTTATGTATATTTTGGTCTGTAACTCTATTGGTATTTTGATTTATTTGGTCTTACATATGTTTTTTTGACAAGATAGAAGTCATTAGTTTTATTAGAAATAGAAAAATATCCAAATTACAATGAAGGTTTACAACTACAATCGTAAACTAAATACATAATAAGGATATTTTTCATATAATCATTAACACAAGAAACTAGCCACATAAGATCACACAAGGACCATATATAAGGAAAATGTTAAAAAAAACCTAACCAAATAAACTCAAATAAAAGGTAGATACAAACATATCTGACTATATTGATAAACGAACTATAAAAAGGGTTTAAGCTATCGAAAGGCCACCGACAAACCGTAAATCAAAATTGAGTGACGTGAGAAAACTATCCATGAATGTAAATCACGTATCCAAATCCAATATGAGGATCCAAAGCATTAAAGATTAGCATGATAACAAAAGTGCTATTTTGATCAGTCGTTACATGTCAAATTTAACCCTAAAAAAAGGATAAACAAAAATAACGGCCAAACGACAAAAAAAAATACCAAAAGGAAGAAGAAAACATGCCATAAAAACATAATTATTAAAAATTAAAAACATAAAAAATATATGATATAATGAAATAAAGAAAAAACAATAAATACTTGTGGTCAGTGACAAACACTAAGATTAATATCGCTGCGGATCACAAAGATTACTTGGTCTTATATTAATTGTCATAGAGTTTCAATTTTGTATAAGTGTTTTATCATTGGTATTGATGTTATTATTTTATTATATCATTTTTATTATATGATTAAATGTCATAAATGAGAAAGAAAATTTAAAATTATTGATCACCTCAGTGATTCAAAGTTACACACTAAACTCATCATGTAACAAATTGGGCTTGAGGTGTTACACATTTGTTAATTTTGGTAAAGGCCATTTAGAGGCAACACATGGACTAGGGTTTTTCTGTGTAGAAATAAGACGAATAAGAGAAAAGAGTGTTCTAAAATTCTAGGAAATAATAAATTCATTTTTTTAATTTTAAAAAAAGTTTAAAAAAATTAATAAGAGATGATGATGATGTGTTTTGGAACAATAAAATGATAGAATTTTTAAATATGTAAGATTAAACTAGTTGAATTATTTTAAATTACGACTAATTTAATAGAATATATGAGTAGTGAAGAATAAACATGTTATAATATACATTTAAAATGTCACATTAATATTTCCATTAACAAGTTAACTAATCACAAATTAAAATGTTAATGACTAACCAACGGTGTTGTTCATGTGATAAGCAGTTTGATATCGTGTAAGTAGGTTTCAAATTCGAGTCATTGCGTATGCAAAAGGTCCTTGCTGGGAAACTTACCCACCAAAATCAGGTGTGCGACCTGAGTCGGTCCGGATTAGCCAGAGCAAACCTTGGAAACTAGAAGGGCAACCAAAAAAAAAATTGTCAATGACTAAATTAACAAAAAAAAGTTATTTAGTAGCTAAAATAAAATTGACCCCATTATGTAGTTAGTATATTGATAATTTTCCCTACATAAATCATATACTCGTGAATAAGAAGCGCCGGGAGCGTTTGTTGCTGCTGTGGGACTCTCGCAGTTTACACTCATCACCACCCTCTTCACCCACGATCTCCTTCTCTATAAACTTTGAAAATCATTTTATATATTGTGTGAGAGGAAAAAAAATAACGTTTGCATGATCAGAGACTTACAAGAATGGGGTCTCCTTCTACACCAAAGCTTTCTCTATATTCGCTTCCGAGTAAGGCCAAAGAGCCGTCAGGGATGATAACGCCGCCGATCCATGCCTCAGTTTCGATTCCATTCAAGTGGGAGGAAGCACCGGGCAAGCCTAGGCGGCCATATCGTAGTGAAAACGAAACAGATACAAGCAGCCGATCAAAGCCAAACGTTGCGAGATGCTTGCAACTGCCACCGAGATTGTTAGCTGAGTCTAAAGTTGCTAACATTCCTTCTCCAGCAACAGTCTTGGAGGTGCCTGATGCATGTCGGTTTGTGTCTAACACTTTGTCGTTTGGAAAAGGTGGGTCTTTGAGGAGACTGGACAAAGTTATGTTTGGATCCAGTAGGTGGGGGAGCTTCAGAAAGGTTGGCCGACAAGTTTTTCAGGGAAGTTTTGACTTTTCAACTCCGGCGGTTGATGGCGGAGATGCGGAGGTGAAGATCACAACGATTAGGAAGAAACCCGGTTTTCTGAATCTATCTCAAGCTAGCTCACATGTCTTGGTACGTTTCAAAACCATCATTGACTAAACAATTCTATCATGTTCCTAGTCTTCTTTGTCGTGTCAAACTTTCTGTTTCAAGTTTCTTAATTTTCTGGGAATTTACACTCTTCAAGTGAATTTTGGTGATATTAACGAGTAATTAATTATTTTAGCAAAAAATAGGCATCTTTGGCTAGTATATGACTTTTTTATTGAATGTTTTCTAATCAGACAACAACATTTATCTGCAGGCAAGCATTTATGAAAGCTTTAAGCAAGTGGTCCCATGGAGACGTGTGCATGAGAAAATGAAGAAAAAGGGCTCCTCAAACGCATTGCCGTCGGCTGATCTGTGAGATCCGTTGTTCAACTTTAAAGCACTTTTATGTAATATCAAGGTATAATTTACAGCACTTCATATACTGTGTGATGTATATAAAATTATCTCTCGGAGCAGAAAATCAATATTATCATATTCTATGTATGGTACCCAGAAATCATGGTTTGGTCAAAAAACAGTTTTTTTTACATTAAAATCTATAAATGGTTGTTGATTCAAAACATATGGAGAAAAGTGGCTGTGTTGACTGTATATAATAGCAGAAAAGTAAGAGCTGAATAGCATAATAGTCAAAAAAAGGAGGCAAGGGACCTTCTTTCTTGTAATTAGCTTTGAAGCATGCCTGTCTTAGCTTCTTTGTTCTCTCTGGCAATTCCATATCTGGCAGTTTCTCTAGCATCCTTTGGTGCTCCTCCAACACCTGTATCTCATTAGTCAAACCAAGCTCCTAAAGATAAGAGGACAATGGCTAATTAGAAATTAGGAACCACACACTTTGAAGGGTTTTTCCTCATTTGGCTCTTGATCACCATTGAGAAACCATTAAAGAGTTTGGTCAGTTGGCACCATCAATCTCTTGCTAATGCTAGCAAGTAATATTCATGTGTTTTAGTTGATGATGACATTTAGTTTTATCATGATCATGTCATGTTAACGAGAGCCTTGTCTCATTTAGGGACATACATAAAATTTTATATCAAGGAAAATTTATAAAATTCCAGGGGTGATCGCTGCTCTAATCCCTTTCGATTCATCGCTGAGCAGTAACTAGTTCGTTAAGCAGAATGGAATGCCTAGAGTGAGAAGCATATGAAAGTTTCTACTAAATGTAAACACATGCATGGATAAGAATATATACCTTGACATTGTTGATGAGTGACTTCAAGCTCTTGATCTTCCTATGAGGCCATCTCAAGATGTTAGGTTCCCTGCATCTCTTCTTCAACAGAGTTAAACCCACATTCATCTCTTTAGCAGCTTTGGATATGGGAAAATCAAAGTACTTTTGAAACTCATCTAATTCCAATGCACCTGTTCTCTTCCTCCTAAAACTCCTGCTTCTACTTTTACTCAAAGTTCCACTTGAACCACTGTTGTTCGTCATATTGCCACAATGGTGACCCAATGAATCAACTACTGCCTTTAGAGGCTTTACATCAACCATTTCATCTTCATTGTGATCTAAAAGAGTAAAGTCGTTGCTTATTTCTTCAAAATCCATGAACTCAACACATGCATTATTGGATTGGGATGGCAACGAAGATGAATTGAAATCGTAAGAACTATCCATTTCAAAAGCCGACAACTCCAACCTGATTTAAAGAAAAAGATCCAAATCATAAGAACTAAAACCCAAAACTTGAAAAGAAAAATGATAATGTAATAACCACAAATTATTAAGAAGATGATTAAGGCATCTAACATTCGAAATGGGTTTTCTTCAAAGTTGATGCAGTCAAATTCAGGTCCATTTTCAAACTTCGGGAAGCCAAGATCCATTGGAAGATGATGCAGAATGAAGGTGGGGAGTTAAAAGGCGACTTTCAACGTTCTATATAAATATGAAAAACAGGGAAGGGGATGAATTGGTATAGAAATGGAAATAAATTGCACAATTTTCAAGGGATGTATTAAATATTATCATTTATTATTAGTGAAGAATTAATCAATCACTTAACACCATTATCATTAATGCATTAATCCTTATCTATCTTTTAAACTTCGTTTTTATGATTAAACATCATATCTTTTCGATTTTACAACTTTTGAGTTTAATTTAGTTCATAAAATTATAAGTTTATTTTTCTAATTAACGATTTTTATTCATTGATTATTAATTTAGATCAATAATTTTATTTAAAGGATTAAATATTTTAAGTCATTTAAAAAATTTATCGGTGGTATACTTTTTTTTGATGTAATGTATTGATTTTTTTAATAAATGTATAGGAAACACCTTTAATTGCGGTTTCATTTTTTAAATTTATTTTATCATTATTTATAAATATAATCTCTATGATTAATAAGTGTACCATAACCGAAAATCAGTTGATCAAGTGGGATGAAGTACTAGATCTCTTAAGCAAGTTCAGGGGTTCATATCCTGATGTTTGAGAATAGAATATACTGAGTTGGGGGTTATCTTTATCTCTATAGTACCTTATTCAGATTAATCGATCAATAAATCAGATATTAATGATTATAAAAAAAAGTTGACGTTAAAGTGTTACGTAGCCGCTTTTAGCATCGTTACCAGATATGTATTAATGTGAGAAATGTAGATAAATTTAAACATCAGTGTGAATAGAAAAATTTAACACTAAGACAAATTGAAGATTAACATATAATTTATTTTTTTATAATTATAATAAATGGCATATCATGATGTTCATCGTTTTTTTTTAATTTTTCGTATCAAATGACCTAAAATTAACATAAATTAAGATAGTAAATTAAATATGGGAAAATTACACTAATGGTCCCTTAACTATAGAGTATTACTTTATTGAGTTCATCAACTATTAAAAGTTACAAAATGATCCTTTTACTATAAGACACTACTTTGTTGAGTTCTCTACTATTAAAAGTTACAAAATTGTCACCCGACTATTTATATATTCCAAATTCATCATTCTCCGTTAAAAAATCAGAGATCGTCTGAGTTTGACGTTAACATGCTCATTGGGATATGATAAAAATATGATTCCAAAATTTATTGAGCTATATTTTGTGAATTGAGTCTTTGTTTACATTACATTATCGAGTCATTTCTTGAAACATGATGTCGTTGAGTTAGTACTTGAAAGCAACGACGGTGCCCATAGCATCATTAAATATATGATTTTATCATATCTCAGTCAGTAGGTTAACGTTCATATCAGATGTCCGTCAATTTTTTAATGAAAATGACGAGTTTGGAATATATGAATAGTTGGGTGGCCATTTTATAACTTTTAATAGGCGTAGACTCAATAAAACAACACTCTATAGTCAAAAGACCATTTTACAACTTCTAATAATCAGGATACTCAATAAAACAATATCATACAATCACTTTTGTATTTTACATACATTCTTATCATAATAATGTAGACATGTCTATTGACTTAATTATGATCTTAAAATTTTCAAATCAATTACAAAAGTCGCCAGACATATTGTTGAAAAAGATATATTAAAAAATGAATGTGAAATTTTGTTGAAAACTCGATCCGTACAGATACAACAAATAGGTAGAGAAGGCCAACGTAAAAGAGTTGACTACACAGCAACAATTCTATTCAACGAGACACCATGCAGATCGTCATAGAAATACTTCAACTTTTGCTGCGTTGGTTAGGGGTGAGTACTCGATCGAGTTGAGTTAAATTTTTTTGAGTTATTCGTGTTGACGAGTCGTATTTTATTATTAAAATTTTATTTGAAATTTTTTTGAGTTGATTTTAAGAAATTCAAGGCAAGTTTTTGACTTTTTATATAAATTTAATTGTAATTATTTATAATAGTATGATACCAATTACATCTAATTTATTGACTTTCTCTAACCATATATATATATTTCTTCATATTATTTTTCATATTGTAATGTTATTTAATAAATCGATACAATCTAAAATTATAAATATTTATAACATTATTTTTAAAAGAAGATATTTTGAGGATATAAAATTTATGGAAGTATAAAGGAGTCAAGGAATTGATGAGAAGAAAGAATTTACAAGAAAAAATGTAGTCGAAAGACCAAATTGAATAAAATGTAAAGTTAAGGGATTGAACTGATAAATGAGTAAATTTGTAGTTAAAAATGAGAATTGAAGTTGCATAGGTATTCTATTGTGGTAGAGGAGCATATCGTTCAAATTGGTCAAAATGGACTTAAAATGAAGGATGAATTGAAGAAATGAGGATATCATACAAAGTTGATGAGCTAAATTGGAAAAATATAAAATTTGTTATAAAAAAAAGATTAATTGAAGATACATATGTATTCTACAATGATTTAGGAGAATGTGGTTCAAGTTTAATAAAAATTGGACTTAAAATGAATGAAATATTGAAGAGATTAGGAAATCACTCAAAATTAAGGGACTAAATTGAAAAATTGAAAATTTGTTATCAAAAAGAAAAATTGAACATACATAGTTATTCCAAAATGGTTTAAGAGCATGTGATTTAAATTGGTAAAATGTGAATTTAAAAGGAAGGATGAATTGAAAAATTATAAAATCATAAGTCAAATTATAAAACTGTCAAAATATTCAACAAACATTTGATTTTTCGAGTTACTTGTAGTACGTTTTAACATCTTGTGTAGTTTTATCATGCCTCCATCTAAGGTGATGTTTTTAATGACAAATTTAAATTGTTTCATATTTCTTTGATAATTTTATAATTCTTGTTATTTGTTATGGAGAGGTTTTAATATGCTTTAAACATGTACTATTTTCATATGTATGGTATTATATTTTCTTAGTGCATACAGTGTCACAAGAATTACTAAACAAAGGTTTCGAAACATCTTTGTTTAAATGAAGAATCTATTGGTATATAAATGTTTCGTATTGACTTAAATTCTAATTAATAATTAAATCAAATTTTATTGTAATTTTGATTGTTGAAGATTACTAGATGATTAAGTTTATTTAGATAAGAATTTTTATGAAGTAAGGATTCATAATGATTGAGCTTATTTTCCTTATATCTTAACGTTTAAAATTATGAGAGAATTATTTAGTGATATATAATCTCTACTGTGATCTCTGCAACTATTAGAATCTATGTTTGTAACACCCCAAATTCCGAGTTAGTAGTTTTGGTGTTAGATGACCCTATAAGGCTCCCTTAAGCTTTATTTATTGATTTGGGGTAAAACTAGAGTGTTTTAGAGGGGTTTTGGGTGATTCTTGAGCCTTATTCATGGTTTTCTAGATTGTAGTATCGATATTGTTCTTGTAGTATCGATACCAATATCAATATTGTTTTTGTAGTATAGTACTCGTATTAATACCAATATCGTAGTATCGATACTCGTATAAGACTCGCACCAATACATCACTCGTTGCATATGAATATTTATAGATTGATATAAAATGTACAACTAAGGTTAAAAAAGGGTCTTAAATTATGAAATGACCCAAATTCCCCTTAGGTGACATAAATTACCAAAATACCCTTAGTGCGTAAGAAACTTTAAAAATACCCTTAAAGGGGTGCATATCAAACATTCACAAACGAAGGATCGTTGCGATAGACATGCCATCGAGCGAGACGATGGATGTCGTGGATAGCGAGATAGAGGAAATCGAGTACTACATGAACACCTATCATAAAAAATGAGCAAGTTGCCCTATTGGTTCAAGGGAAAATCGATGGCAAGTGTGATGAGAGCGACTAAGGGGTCGTTATCAATGAACCAACCTCGAATCGAGCATTGTGCTAGTAATAATATCAAGTGGGTAGCGATGAATATTAATTTCCTTAAGGGCATAACACACTAAAAAGACTAATAAACCATTGTATAACATTCTAGATAAGTGAATGAGCGATATAAGAACTAGTGAGGGGATGACCTCACTTTAGTGGGTTGAACAATGCTAGTGTGTAGCTATGCTACCTTAGTTGCCATAGTGGGGCATTGATATAAATGCGTGGCCTTTGGGCACTCAGATATGCATGTGTAGTTGCATTAGTATAATACATCAGTTATACTTGAAACTTGGCTTGATGATATGTGATACAGAGCCAATGCTTCAGTTGAGTGAAAATTAACGATGCCATCTGACCTGGGTTCCCCCTTCATGATCTACCTGATGATATGTGATATTATGAGATCATTCAGCAGCTTAGTGGGAATTTCACCGATGCTATATGATACTGGGGTTCTCCCAGCATTCTAGTATCTGATATTATGTGAGACCAAATAGTAACAACATGTCTTGTGTCGCAATTAGAGAATGCACTTCAATTATAATCATTGGGGTTAAGGACCCAATAGAGGTGTACTCATGGCGAGGCCCTTGAAGAGAATTAAGGGAACCATGAGACTCCTACTTCAGCAATAAAACAATTGAACCTTAAGTAGGTAGCACTCGATTATGATCATGCATATACATACTGCTTAGTACCATGTCTTTAGCATGCTTGTGTTTATGAGACTCATAATGCTGTTCTAGATTAGTGATTATACTGCTAGGCTTTATAAGCTCAGCGTCCAGATGTTTTCATTTGCAGGTTATTAGCTTGAGTTGTTCAATGAACACCATCGCAACAGGATTTCCAGTATCTCCTCTAGAGTATTTTACTGTTACTTTTAGTGGGCATATGTATTCATATAACCTTACTTATGTATTTGAGTTTTATAATCTTTGAGTTGTATTATTTGATTTAAATTATAGAGCTCTAGTTTATAAAAATGTTTTTATAAATGTCATGTATGTCTATTTTGGTACCATTCAATATGTTTTTAAATGGAAATGAAACAGGTTTTGAAAATCAGGAGTTGCTCTGATAGCCTAATATGACACTTTAGATTCAATTAGGTTTAGGGTGTTACAATGCTACAAATATAATTTTTATGTGGATATTAAGAGAATGATTGAGGATAATACATGCTTTCGGAATATATGTAGTATCGTCCCAAATTTGTTCAAATCTATTGATTAGAATTTTTATAAATTAAATTATTGGGATTTGAACACAGTAATTCTTGTCCGTCAAATGATTCATTGGTTCTTTTTTGGAATTAATTTGATAATCTAATTGAGAAAATGGAAAAAGGTTGGCAAACAAATGAAAAAAAAGAGAGAAATGATGTATTGTCCCTTGCTTGATAAATAGACCAAAGGTTGGAAATGTTGGGAATTGTTAGATTTTGACTTTATTTTATTTTAAAAAAATAAAACCAAATCTCTCAAATTCTTTTACCCCTATCGAATTTCCCTTCCTTTCCAAGCCTTTTGTCTTCTTTCATTTTTTTCTGTTTCCAATGCCTTTATTGAAGAGATTTGTTTTATTGTTATTCACATTTTTAAGGTTTCGTCTTGATTAATCCCGACCGATTTGGATCATATATTTGACTTTGAAATGTTTGAATTGTTGGTTCAACATGAAACGAGTTATAATCATCAAATCAATCCTTTGAACATCTACTACATTATACATGATGATCTCTTCCAAGACACCCTCCCTCCAGAAACCTAGAAAACAAGAGCGACATGGAAGAGAAAATAAAAGCGACCTTTCGTCCCTCTTTTCTTGCATCCAAAGTCATTTGAATGAAATAATCAAGAAATGTTGCTTTAAACATGACAACTTCACTTTTGATTCTCATGGCTTTAATAGCTTCAACAACAACAATATCAATGTATAAAAATAGGGTAAAATACAAAATGATCGAGAGACTCGACAAAGTAACATTATATAGTTGAGAGACCATTTATATACTTTATCCACAAAAATAAAACCCAACCAATATTATTCTCTACCAACACAAATATTAGCACAAACTAATGGCATGCATCCTTGATTTTCTAAGTTCAACATTATTAGGATTGTTCATTTTAAACTCAAATTAATATAACTAAAAAAATTATAAAAAAATTCAATTAATTCAGTCAACGACCGAATAACCAAATTTTGTTCAATTCAGATTAACAATTAAAGAAAAAATCTAATTAATTCAGTTAATAAAAATTTGATTCAATCAATGACCGTATTAACCATTAAAATACCCTTAAACATTATCCATAAAATTCCTTTATGAAATCTAATCAGTTTTCTACTAAAAATACAAAATACATAAAATATGATTTCATTGTATTTTCCACCGACACTAGAGTGAAAACGTGTTGGCAGCTTCATAGCATGCACAATAACTAATATCGATCGTATTTTTATGTAAATTATATTAGTTTAAGCAGTAAGTCACTTGATAGCGTTTTAATAAGTTTTGAGTTTGAGTCTTATGTATTCAAAAATTTTCTATTGAGAGACTATCTTACCACAGACAGATACGATCAAGTCGATCTGAATTAATTAAAACAAAACCTTAAGAATGAGAAGGATAACAAAACAAATCTTTTATTAATCATTCAAAATATCGTTATATAGTTCAATTGTGATACTTATCGAATGATTACATATACGTTAATTTTTTAAACGTACATAGACAAATATATTAATTTTTATAATAAAAAGATTTAAGATAAATTTAAAAATATAATATACAAACTAAAATATTTCTTTTATAATTAAAATTTAAAATGAAGTTTTTAATATAATTTCAAAAACATCTGATAGACTTAAATATAAAAACATTTTGAGAGGAATCAAAGTTTGTCCTAATTTTCTCTTTCTTTTAATCGTTGCTAATTTTTTTCTTTATTTTATGATCTGGCATCAATTTTGGTATTAATCACCGACCATCAATATTTATTATTTTTTTATTTTATTATAGTGTTTCGTTGCTTTTTTCCTTATTATTAAATTTTTAATAATTATGTCTTTAAGACACATTTTTGTAAGGGTTAGATTTGATATTATCACAATTAATTAAGATGTCACTTTTTTTATCATGATGATATTCCCTACTTCAAACTTTCGAATTGAATTTAGATACGCGATTTATGTTTGTAAATAGTATTTTAACGCCACTCAACTCTAATTAGATTTATTGTCGGTTCAAGCATTAATCCAAATTACAAAAACCCTTCTGAAAAGTGGATTAGTTTTTATTAGTTTGGAACGAATATAATATAATATATGTTTATAGATTCTCAATCATTTAACATTAAACGTTTATACACCTCTACATACAAGGGGAATATCTAAGGAAAGACAATCTAATTTAAGGCTAAGAAAAGGCAGAACCAAAAATATTAACTTTTTAACCTAAAATATTAACTTTTTAACATTTTCGGTCGGCAATTAAAAATATTGACTTCTTCGTAACATTTTTGGTGGAATAAAAAATGTTAAAAAATTAATATTTTATTTTAAAAATTTATTTATGTTGCGTTAAACTAAAAATATTAATTTTTTAAATATTTTCGGGTGTGACTTTATTTAGCCTTAAATTAGACATACGTCACAGTAAAACTACCTTACATATATGATGCTTTAAACTTAAATTTTCAAAAATAACAACAATTCCTTACTTATTTAAGTTGTTTGGTTGGGTCGTGCCCATTAAGATTTCTTTATATGGATGAAACCTTGTAAGGTCATGTGATTCTGCTTGAGAATTGGACCCCATTGGACCAGAAAAAGAAAAAAAATATACTGCTGCAAAACAAAACAGTCCCTCTGGAATGGTCATTCAACGTAGCTGCAAAAATCAACTATAGCAAGACGTGCTATTAGCCTATAAGTAATAACCTGGCTTCCAATTGCTTCTTTCTCGAGTACGACTGCAAGTTTTTGCCCTTTGTGTTGCTCCCAGTGCAGGTGATGTTGTCGTTTTCTTAATGTTTAACCAAACAACCAGTTCTACATCAAACTATTTCGGTCACCGTCAATCATCTAGCTCCGTTTATGGTCTATTTCGCTTTGCTCAACTCCTGCTGATTCTTAAAGGTTGAACTGGGAGTGGGTCTCGGTTTTTACAAGTTCAGTTGCGCTAGAAGTGGAAATAAAAGAACAAGCTTGTCTAAGAAAAGGTTAGTTTTTTTTCTTCAATTTTACTGAGAACCCACTTTCTATTTTGGTTAGTTTTGTGCTTTTACATGTTGAGATTCTGAGAAGAAAGGGAAGAAGATGACCCGACAAGGCCTACAATTTGTTTCACTAAGGCCATTTACCTATTTGGCTTTAGTTCAGCTGAAATGATATTCACACTTTCTGAGAAGTATCTCAACATCACTGTTCTTTGGCTGTCTCTGCAAATAAAGAAAAAGAATGGAAAATTTCCAGCTTTTGGAGTTATCTTTCTTTTTAAATGTTTAATGCACTTAGAGTATTGCTGAAGATTCACAGACAAAATGGGGTTTCTCCTATGTATGACAATCAAGTATTTTAGTTTATTATCTGTCGATTTTGTGTATGAGAATTGTTCCCCCCCCCCCCATATTTTATTTCTGGGTAGTGGCAGAAGTGAAGCAATTGGCAAAGTGTTGTCTGTTTTTTATTATTTGTTTTTTTATCGCCTTTGGTAGTTTTGAAGTGTCTCACTCTGTCTACAAGTTTCAAGTTTGATGTTGTCATATTGTTGCGGTTCTTATTTTAAATTCTCAAGGTTCAATGTGGTTTTCTGTTTCTTTCCATGGCGCTTAGGGACATAATATTATCATATGATTTCTATCTTGTTTTGTTTGGTGTTAGATGAACTATTTTTTCTTGCTCTCCCTTTCCCCCATTTGCTTGAAATAAATATGGTTATTTTGATTATACATGTTAAGGCATACTCGGTCCGGTCTCCTTGCTGCTATGCTGATATATCGAGAAGAATCTAATTATGAAGAAGTTTCTATGCAGCGTAGGCTGTTATTGTCTGATATTCTCAAGGTATCGGAGTTCTTGATATTTTGTCTGTTTAGTTCTTAGGCTTGAAAGAATAGGATCTTCCTTAAAGTTGAAATCTTTGTTTTGTTTCTTTTCTTCGATATCCTGGTCGAATTTTAGTACTTCTAGGCTGTATGCTTAGCATTTTGATGGCCAAACTGGTTGCACCAGCATTCAAGTTAAATCACTGCCTAATTTGGGTGGTTTTGTCTTAATATTTCAAGTGGTGGATGTTCTTGGAGGTTGCTAAGCCGCCATCCATATCAGTCAGTGCGATATGCACAGATTTGGCACTTTGCACTGCTAGATAATGCGTTTATGTCTCATATTTATTGTTTTATCACAGAGTTTCTTTGTGTAGGATTTCAAAAATCTGAGAACACAACTTTACTCAGCAGCCGAGTATTTCGAGCTGTCCTACTCTAATGATGACCATAAGCAGATGTGAGTCACTCTAATTCCTCATAGCTCATGTCTTTCAGTGTTGTTCGAGTTTAATTACTTCCATTTTCTCCTATTGTCGATTATGAAGGAAGATCGTCATATATATGCTGAGTTGTAGACATTAAAGGATTATGCGGTAAAAGCCATTGTGAACACCGTCGATCATCTGGGTTCTGTGACATACAAGGTTAACAATTTTTTGGAAGAAAGGGTTAATGAGGTTTCTGGAACAGAGCTTCGGGTATCTTGCTTCGAAGAGGTGAGGTTATGATTCTAGCCTTTCCTGTTGTTTGCTTACAAAGTATTTAACTTTTCCATACTTTAATGTGGCACTTCAGAGAGTACGAAAATGCCAAGAGTATATTGACCATGAGAGAATTTCCCAACAGTCGTCGATGATCAAAACACCGAAGTACCATAAACGTTACATCTTGCCAGGCAATTACCCGACTCCATTCTCTTCGCCTTTTTCCCGTTCCATTGCAATTACCGGGAAAGAATATTTGGCTGTTTTTAATGTCTTTGATCAAATTCCAGTTGGGGAGACCTTGCATGGTGCAAACCAAACCAAGTCAAAATATCAAGGATACAGTCTAGACGATGAAGACAACTGCCATCGGTTCAGGAATGGTAGTTGTTTTATCTATCCTTTTGCATCATCTCTTATATTTTGGTTAAGATTCCAATGTAAATCGATCCTACTTGTAATGATTCCTCTAAAGCTGTTCGAGCTACAATTAGGGAAGTCCGATCGCCACAATCTGTCGGGGAAACCTCGGCATCTTCAATCAGGTAAAGATCACCATTACATTTCTGATGAATTGGATTAATAGACCATAGTTATTTAGTTGTATAATTAGAGCATGAATACCAACTATTCTAGTAATGGTTGTTGAAGAAGAGGACGTTCTCCATCACCTTCTCCTCAGCCTCGACAACGATCCACAAAGTTTTCCTTTACTGTTACCATGCCAAAGAAAGAATTAGGTCGATATACTTCTGAGCTTTTCTATTCTCGGACTGCCATTCTATACTTTTTTATTCTCTTTTACCATCTTAGTTCCTTAAATCTGTTCTCGGTTATGACTTATGATCAGAGAAGCGAGCAGTATCACCTCATCGATTTCCTCGTTTGAGTTGTGGATCTGATAGCAGGCCTACAACCCACAATAAGAGCCGGTCAAGTACTCCAAATTCGGATGGTGCGAGACGACGGGTGAGTGTAAAATAGTTTCATTTATATGCTTAGTCTATCAATGAAGCATTGCCGCATATCTTCAACAGTTCATACTCTGTTAAGGATGCATATGAGCTATAGATTCTAACTTGAATTTGGTTTGAATTGCCAGTTTCCATCAGAACCTCGGAAATCGGCTGTTGATTTTGAGAAAGACAACACCACCAACGACATTGAACAATATCTCACCAAAAGTAAGAGACTGCAAGCATTTTTTAGTCGTGGCAAATGAAAGAAAGATGATATGCTGTATACTTATTTGGATGAATAGTGAGATACAAATACAAGGATCATATTATTCATATATAAGCAGTCACAAATAAATTTCCACAACTCCACTTCAAAACTGAATTATTATCTGGATTTTACTCATTTGGCTGGTATTGAAATATAAATCTGTTTGGAGATATATGGCCGGATGCCATTGTTGGAAGTTGAAACAGTTCGAGTTCATATTTTTTTCTGGTTCAAATTTTACACATGCTGTTAACTACCAGATTAATGTTGAATCTTTTAGTGCTGCCTCTGCCTTCTGTTCAACAAGTTGTTCAACTTCTGTTCGGCATGGCATGTATCGTATTGAAAATAATTCACATTGTGAGCATCTGTGATCACTCAATCAACTAATAAAACTCAAAATTTAGAATCAGTTTTAATTAAATTCACTTTTTTATTTTCTTTTGTTAGGTATCTACATATATAATAATATAAAAAAAGTAACAGAACACTTCATTATTATGATTATTGTATTTATTGCTACTCCAAATGAGATCTCGTTCAAGAACACCATAATATCACGCCTTTCTAATACTAAGATCTCTGAAAAGAGAGGGGTGAGTAGAGACTAGAGAGTTTGCTGGATATATATATATATATATATATATATATATATATATATATATATTAGGGTTTCCCGGGTTTTCTCGGTTCATGCTTAGTATTAGCGCCTGCATCATCATAATCCAGCATTGCACCCGTCAACAGCTTTCTTAACGATGAACTCATCTGGATCTTCTCATTCCCACCCTTTACCTAATAATTAATAACAGTCGGTAAAACCAACATCTCGAAATCAATAAAGAACGTAGTTTATACGATCACATTACATGCATATATTAATCCCGAAGCACGAGAAAGATTGTGGAATATATATATTATACCTGTTGATGATCAAGTGCGTAATATGTAGCCTGCATTCCACCTTGAAACTCGTGAACTATACCTGCCAATAACAACAACAACATCAACTCTGATCAGTGGATGGGTAAAGAGATTAATGTGCAGAAAGGTAGTGGTTGGAGTATTGGTTACCATAGGAGATAGACATGAAGAGGAGCAAAGAGAGCAGAAGAAAAGTATTGAAGCGAAGATCTGACATAGATAGTGCTTGATGTTAGGAGGAGGGAGCTGGGAGAATGCGGAGGGGAAGGTGTGGCCTTTATAGTGCTGGCTATTGCTCTGTCATGGCGCACAATACCCATTCATCATGAGATGCTTTACCCCTTCTTTTGCCCACAATTTCCTTAAGTCAACTCCACTGTTTTTAATTTCCCAAAGCTAAGTATTTATGCGGTTCGCCCTTTTTGATTTGAATTAAGGATCATGGTTGGTGAGATAATCGAGAGAGTCCGTCTCTTTCATTAGTCTTATCTTGGACTTGGGAGTATTTATAATGGACTTGACTGGTTATGTCAGGTTATTCCTTGTAAGAAGAAGAATGAGAGATAATATCTAGATTGAAGAAGGTTTGACTCCTTTATTAGTCTTACTTGGGCCCGGGGTATATATAGTGGATTTAATTGGTTATATCAGGTAATTATGATTATTCGTGGGTCAACAACTTAGATAGATATTATAGTCAAACCTTAAATTTTACTCTAATAGATCATGTGAGTCTGTCAATGGTCTATTTAATAACTCTCGTTTTGTAAGGTCAAAGATCCTTCAACAATTTCAATAAACAAATAAAACTTTAATCCCAAAAAAAATATTATTATTCAACTACATATAACAGCCTAAAACCCATGACTAAGCCATCACTTTGTAGGTATGCTACCACTTGACTAGTCCAAGTGGTCCTGTATCGATTATTAAAAATTTGATCTGTTGTTCAATACTTCAATATATGAAAATGAAGATCCTTCAATAAATATAGTATTATTTTAACCGGCGGTATCATACCGTTCACTCTAAATGTACATATATTATATATATAGTAGTAATATTTACAATAATAATATAATGAAAATAATTAATAATAGAGGTTATTTTTTGAGCTGATAAAAAAAATTATTCATGAAGTAGAGAAGAACAAAATAAATATTTTATTTTCTATAATATAGGTTTAGCGAATCAAATGGTGCTACTATATATATGTCTAAAATCAAATATACAAGTTTATCAACGATTAGATGGTCTAATTAGATGAGGGATTAAATTTTTTAAATAAGATTAAGAGTTCAAATTTTGGCGTTTGTGAATGGAGTAAACTGGTTGGGAGGGTCGCCATCACCTATGCAGTACCCGATTTGAATTAGTCGGTTAATAGATTAGATACAATGATTAATTCAAAAAATTCTAATATACAAGTTTTATTGTAAATGGTGTAATATCATTTGAGCTATGGATCAACTACATATAAAAATAAATTTTAATAAAAATCTATTAAGTGGTCTTAATGGTAAAAGAGAATGTTAATCTTCTTAGAAAATTTAGATTTGATTATGCAGGACGTGTGTATTATCAATAAATTAAGAAAATATTAAACAAAAGAAATAACCCTCAATCTTTAGATTGATCTAAAAATTTTATGGATTAATATTGAATATTTTGAGACATTTTTTGTTTAATACTTTTCTCTGCCGCTTATTCTAAACTTGATTCTATTAATAAGTATAACTCGAAAAAATTATTTTAATATACTTTTGAATTATGAAAATATATGATTGGATCGTCGAGAAATCGCATTTTAATTTTTTTACATGAATCATTCTTCCATCCGAGGAAAGAGATATTTCAAGAAAAAATGAAAATGTTTCCTTAAAAAATGAAAAGAGAAATAAAATGACTAAAAATGAGAAAAATATACAATTTCTAAAATTACAAATATTTTCCTTTTAGCAAAGTGTTCTTAGAAGAAATGTTCTTCTAAAATTTTCAGATAAATTCAACATATCTAATACATATTTATAGCATGAACCAATTGATCTCAATGGTTAAAGGATTCGTTATTTTTTTAGAGGTCACGAATTCGAGCATTGACAAGAGTATGAATGTTCATATTACCCTAGATGTATATAAATATAAAAAAAAAACTATTTCGAAGTGTTTTAAACATATTTAACTTTTTTTTCTAGTTAATTGCATCACATGTCCTTAGAGTATGGCCCTCATTTTAAATTGGTCCATAAATTTTTAAATGTTCCAATTTTTCCCAAACTATGAATATAATTTTAAATTAGTCCTCAAACTTTTGAATATTTTAGTTTCATCCCCAAACTATGATATTCATTCTAAATTGGTCCTCAAACTTTTTGCACATTCCAATTTTATCTCACACTATACGTATATACTAATCACATCCCTTGTTAATAAAATCGTTAGACCAAGTTATATTATTATATTTTTAAAAAGAAAAACAAAATTTAGGTTAAACTATGGTTGAAACTAATTATATATTTGGATGAATTTGAGGATGAAATTAGAATATTCAAAAGTTTTGGGATCAATTTAAAAAGAGGGCCATAATTTAGGGATGAAATTATAATGTTTAACTTTCTTTTATTTTTTAGAAATGAAGTTTTATACAAATATATTCAACTTTAATTTTAATTATTTTATTTTGGTTCTTATAAATGAGTCTATTAAAAGTGTGAAACCAAAATCCGATTTTAAACTTATGATGCTCATATCTAGGAATGGCTATGGGTCGTGTCAGGTCGAATTTTCCGTCAATCCGACCTGACCTGAAAAGTATACATCCTCCATCTGAATCCGACACGAATTGAAAAATATACACCCTCCACCCGACCTGAATCCAACCCAACTGTTTGAGATAAAATCAAAACCCGAACCACCTGACCCGAAATAATATATTTATTAAAACAATATTATTTTTATTCAATAAAAATAGGGATTTAATTGAAAAAAAATATATGGAGGGGCATTATTACAATTATCTCTAAATATAAAGGTAAATTTATATGCTTTTCTCATGTCGGGTCGGGTCATATATTTTTCATCTTAAACCCGAATCTGAATCGACCCGGCTCGCACACCTCTTAAAAACTCGACCCAAACCGAACCTAATATTTTAAAAAAAACTCGACCCGGTCAAATTGGATTAAATCAGAGCCCGTCAGATTCATGTCTCATGCCAATCCCTACTCGTATCAATAAGTCAATCCACTTTTCCAACTCTTTTCTATACCTAAATTTTAGGTTCTTATTCTTTGTGGTGCAAATTTAAGTGAAAATTTTCATAAAATTTCCATATAGTTATATTTTACGGTTAAATAATTTTATTTCTTTTCTCCCATCATTATTTAAAATAATGAAGAAATTGCAATCAATTTAAGGCATTATATTCTTTTTGTTTTTAATGTTTAGTTTTTAGTTTCTTTTAATATTTTTTTAGTATTAGTTTGATCCTTGAGAATTGTACATGTGATTATATTATCATATCTGTTGAAACTTTTCTCAGAAGAAATGATTATAATCTAATGCTTTTTTTGTGTGTTCACAACCATTGAGATTATGAAATTTTAGAGAAAATTGCATCATATGCCCCCAAATTATAATTCTTATTTTAAATTAGTCCTTAAACTTTTGATTATTCCAATTTCATCCCTAAACAATAACTATCATTTCAAATTAGTCCTTAAACTTTCAAACATTTTAATTTATTCCATAATTATGACCCTCTTTCTAAATTGGTCCCCAAACTTTTGAATCTTCCAATTTCATTCAAAGATGCAATTATTTTTTTCAAACACATAATAATATAACTTGGCCTAACGATTTTATTAACAATTGATGTGATTAGTATATACGTATAGTATGAGATAAAATTCAAAATTTTAAAAAGTTTGAGGACCGATTTAGAATGAAGATCATAGTTTAGAGATGAAATTGAAATGTTCAAAAATTTGAGAACAAATTTAAAATGATAGTCATAGTTTAGGAATGAAATTAAAATATTTAAAAATTCATTAACCAATATAAAATTTGAATCATACTTTGAGGTCA